TATGGCGCGTTAGTTCAGTTTTAAATAAAGTTAAAGAGACAGGATGATGATTCAGACAGCAAAGGTTACGTTTTGGAGCAAAGCAAAAAGAAAAACCCAAGAAAACGTTCTTCATGCTCGTCAGGTACAGTTACTTGTTGCCAAGACTAGATCTGGATTGTCTCGTCAACCCTCGTGGTCAAATCTAAAGTCCGTTACATGTGTCATGTGACTGCTTTCTGGAGTGTGCGGCACACTAACAGGATGCACTGACCTGTTCTCCTGCTCCAGGTCATTAAGGACCCTCTCCAGCTCTCCCTTCTCCTCTGTCTCCATGGAGATGAGGATCTGGGCGGGGCTGCGGGGCTGGCTGAGAGGAGAGCCTTGGTTCAGAGACTGGCAGTAGTGCTGGATCAACATGTGCTCGTCATCGCTGCAGACACACACACGTCAAACATACCCACCGATGATACACACACGTAGCAACAGAGATGCCAATGCACGTACACACAGACACACACACGCACGGAGAATGAAGGAAAAAGAAAAGCAATTGAATGAAAGAGCAGCAGCTAAACACAACAGCACCACAAAAGAAAGAAAGATGAGGAGCATGGAGACAGAGAGAGGGCCGGAGCGTTCTCCTGTCAGGAACACTGGACTGGTCACTCGCTGACAGGGCTGAGCGATGATCTGTGGCCTGAAGATTCAGGAGCATTATGGCACTCACTGCACTGCTGCCATGAATATTATGGGATATGTGCTTCACCTTCAAGATGACTGCTGATTTGAAAGGTAAAGTGGACTCTCAGCTGTCTTTAAACGTTTTATTCATCAACCAAACTCCATATTGCACTTCATGTGGACGTGAAGCCCGAAGCAATTTTTCAACTTAGCCTTAGTTCAATTTCCATGTGTGCTGGACTACTTTTACATTTTGCTGTTTGTCTTGGAACTAACAGGGCTGCAACTTTTTTAAAAGTGGTTAAAGCCCACGCATTCTACACAAACCTCAGGCAAAGGTACGAACACTACTAGAACAAGACTATTGTTCCATTATTGTTACAACAGGTAAAGACGCACAAAAGGAACAATAAGTTATCCTATACTGAGTAGTCCTTAGCTTTAAATCTGGTACCAGGTACTAACTTCTCTTCTTCTGCCTGTCCTGTCTTCCACACATCTTCATCTCCAAGTGAACTCATCTCACATCCTTTTCTTTATTCTCCCTGCAAATCTGGACTTCTAGCTAGCAACACACTCTGTGCCAAACTCTTTATTTCCTGATGTCTGTTAAACTGATAGAAATGATCTGAAAGTTTAACAGACGTTACTGCCTTTATGCTCGAGTACAGCATTCGTCCCGCCCCTCTTTAACCCCCCGAGTATAAACACTAACTGATGCCACTGAACCAAAAGTAAAAATGCAAATGTGGGGAGTAAACGCCAAAAGCTGTCAGAAAAATAAACACTCAAGAAAAGTAGAGAAATCTGACAATTCTATTCAAATACAGAAACAAAATATTTGTACTTTGTTACTTCCCACCTCTGCTTAGTTACCTTTAAAAATGGCTGCCTCCCCCCCACACACACCAGCTTTAATGCTACAGGTCATAAAATCCTATACGTTTTCTATAATTCTGTGATATGATCTATGATCTATGATCTGATCTGTGATCTGATTCTATGCTGCACCTGGATTTGCAGCCTACTGTTTTGATACTTTTGACACACCGGCAAACTTATTTTCACCGAAACGTTAAGCTAAACAGGTGTGAGGGTGTTTAATTCTGTGCCTCTGTGTCAGTATAGTTATATCAGTATCAGTTATTCAGAAATAATAACCACAATCAACACAACATCATTTATCTGTTTCTCGCCCTTTTTTACCTCCAAACTGAAACATAGCCCCATGAGCACCTGTGGTTGTGTAATTGATTTTTCACATATTAATTCTGGTTGAACTGCAGCTCCGGTGGTCGAGCAGGTCACTTACTAACTGGGAGGTTGATGGTTTGATCCCAGTCTGCTCCAGTCTACATGCCAAATATCCTTGGGCTAGATACTAACCGCATGTAGCTCGTGAATAGCAAAGCAAAAAGTGTATGAATGTACAAGTTGTGTAAAGCACTTTGATGCTCAGATCAAGTAGAAAAGTGCTTTATAAGTCTTCATTATGACCCTGCCTCTTTGATTTCTCTGTACATGTGTTTGTATTTGGAAGAAAGAGGAACCTGTAGCCCAGCGACCCCCGACCCCCGGGCCACGGGCCGGTACCGGTCTGCTAGTTGTTTGGTACCCGGCTGTGAGAGTCGCGGCTCGGGTGTGAAATTTATCGTTTTCAGGGTTTTTATCGTTAACTCGGTTCCCCCGGGTCTTTTCCCATGTTGTAGTTTGTGCTCTTATTTTGAAAGACATTTTTACATGTTACCATAGCGACCAGAGAGCATTAAGGGGCAGAGAGGAGGATGTTACTCTCAATGTTGTTGGTGCATTTCAGGAGGACGCTGCTAATAAAGTTACACAATTACACGTTTATTATTATATTTACAAAATCCCAGTTTCTGTCTCGGCCGTATCGTTTTATTTGTTGCAATCACACGCCACGCCTTAAAGGCTGTGAAATATCTCCTGACATTAAACTGTCCATGACACAAAGTTGTTGGGCACGGCTGCTGTAGCTGAGGCCATCCTGGTGCCATCGACCTCTTTCAGGACTTGTTTGGCTGAATATTATAACACTATGTACTGGATCTATATTTCCTGAGGTGGCCACTATCACCACATATTGGGGCAACTGCCCATTTAAGATTTTGCGTTTAGCTCATTAAAATGTAGCCACTTTTGAATATTCAGTCCTGCCATTCAGAGCAGAGAAAGTAATCACTACACATTTTGTCGTTGCTGTGAGGAAACATACAAACCTTTACTGATGTATTGTTAATGCATAAACATGCTCCTGTCATACTTGGACATTTAAGAGTGTGGGTATGTTTATGTGTTGTGTAGAGGTTGTGGAGGTAGACACGATACAGTTTACTACTAGAACAGTAGTAGTAAGTAGGGGTGCAACGATACTCGTATCGATATTGAACGTTCGATACAGTGCTTTCGGTTCGGTACGCATATGTATCGAACAATACAACATTTTACATTTATTTTATCAACTTTCCTTCTGACGGTGCTGTCTGTGTTGAGCGCTCAGTGGATCTGCGCTCGACAGTGCAGCCTAGGCGGAGTAGTCGAACGCAGATTCACTGAGCGCAG